TAGATACGACAGTCCTGGTACAGACAGCAGAGCTAACGTTAGCTACTAAAATCCCCTCCCCTCCCCCTTCTCCCCTCTTTTCTCTCCCACACTCTGTCTTTATTTTCTTTTCACTCTTTCATTCTTTCCCACAACACTTCCTTATCTCTTCTTTCTTTCTCTCCTTCCTCCCCCCTCCACACCCCTTCTCTCCCTCCTTCCTCTGCCTCCTCCACCTGTCCACACCTCCACTCCCGTCTCTCACCCTCTTCTCCTCCTTTTCATCACCTCACCCTCCTCTTCTAACTCACCCCTCCTTCCACCACCAGACCAACCTCCTTATAAGGAGAAACAGCAGCAGCAGTAACAGCAGCAGCAGTAACAGCAGCAGCAGCAACAGCAGCAGCAGTAACAGCAGCAGCAGCAACAGCAGCAGCAGAAACAGCAGCAGCAGCAGCAGCAGCCGAGCCTTCAGGGAATAGAACACACACACACACACACACACACACACACACACACACACACAAACACAAACACCGTGTTTCTCTACAGTAACTGTGTCTCTGCCGCGGAGCCGCTGAGCAGCTGCAGAACTGAACCATCACCTCTCAGCACTGACTAACACAGGAGCGCTGCAAAGGATTCTGGGTCCCCACAGTAACACACTGGGGAACAGGAATATGTCTTTGGGCCCCTGCAGGGGGCACCAGTGAGCGGCCCAAAAAACTCAAGATAAATAAATATTGTTCTAAACATTGATAAAAGTTAGCCGCTAAAACTTTAACTAAAAGTTAGCCGCTAAAACTTTAACTAAAGGTTAGCTGCTAAAACTTTAGAGAGTTAATTAAAACTTTAACTAAAGGTAAGCTGCTAAAACTTTAACTAAAGGTTAGCCGTTAAAACTTTAACTAAAGGTAAGCTGCTAAAACTTTAACTAAAGGTTAGCTGCTAAAACTTTAACTAAAGGTTAGCCGTTAAAACTTTAACTAAAGGTAAGCTGCTAAAACTTTAACTAAAGGTTAGCCGTTAAAACTTTAACTAAAGGTAAGCTGCTAAAACTTTAACTAAAGGTTAGCTGCTAAAACTTTAACTAAAGGTTAGCCGCTAAAACTTTAACTAAAGGTTAGACGCTAAAACTTTAACTAAAGGTTAGACGCTAAAACTTTAACTAAAGGTTAGCCGCTAAAACTTTAGAGAGTTAATTAGTCGAAACTGTAAAAACTAAATATTTATTTGTTCAGATCTGGGAGAAATTTAATTGAATGTAAAAAAGTAGTTCTGAAAGTCAACAGCAGAGGGCTGGATATTTGTGGAAAAAGTTAAAAATAAAATTAAAAAAACTATTTATTCCCCCTTTGATCCTTTGACCCCCCCCCCCCCCCCCCTCACACACACACACACACACACACACCAAAGTGTTCTGGCGTCAGTAACGTGGGCCGGTCGTCGTTGGAGACAACAGCATCATTGTTCCTCTGCATCGCCACGACGACATGATGACCTCATCACACAGCCGGCCCGGCCCCGCCTCCCACAGGGCCCCGCCTCCCACAGGGCCCCGCCCCCCCCCCCGCCCCAGAGCCAATGGGCTCCAGATGTTGAAACACACACAGAAGTGTAACAACATGGTGAGAGAAAGAGAGAGAGAGAGAGGTAGAGAGAGAGAGAGAGACAGAGAGAGGTAGAGAGAGAGAGAGAGACAGAGAGAGGTAGAGAGAGAGAGAGAGACAGAGAGAGGGAGAGAGAGGGAGAGAGAGAGAGACAGAGAGGGGGAGAGAGAGAGAGACAGAGAGAGAGAGACAGAGAGAGGTAGAGAGAGAGAGAGAGACAGAGAGAGAGAGACAGAGAGAGGTAGAGAGAGAGAGAGAGACAGAGAGAGAGGGAGAGAGAGAGTGAGGTAGAGAGTGAGTGACAGAGAGAGGTAGAGAGAGGTAGAGAGAGAGTGAGAGAGGTAGAGAGAGAGAGTGAAGAGGTAGAGAGAGGTAGAGAGAGTATGCTCATCAGTTCTGCCTCTCTTTTTTTACCCTCTCACCACTGAATCAGGGCAGTTTTTTGGAAACAACTGGAACAGCAGTGACACAGTCACAGAACGGGCAGCCAACAGGCCACGAGCCACCGTGGCGTCTCCACTGTTGCCCCTCACTGCCACCAGGGGACGCTATCTCTGTGCTGAATCAGTGGACGCAACGCAGAGAGAGGGAGAGAAGAAAGGGTGAGGGAGGGGGAGACAAAGAGAGGGAAACAGGCAGGTGTAGAGAGGGTGAGGGGG